AGGCTGAGGCAGGAGAATCGCTTGAACCAGGAGGTGGAGGTCGCAGTGAGCCAAGATCGCGCCATTGCACTCCAGCCTGGGCGACAAGAGCAAAATTGTCTCAAAAAAAACAAAAACAAAAACAAAATATATATACACACACACACACACACACACACACATATATATAAAATACTCAATGAAGGCTTTCATTTTTCCTGGAATCCCTCAGCATAGCACTTAATAGTTGCTCAGAAGACACTTGCTGAATGGGTTTGAAGATTCACAGGTTTAAAAAATATCAGGAGGCTGGGCACGGTGGCTCATGCCTGTAATCCCAGCACTTTGGGAGGCTGAGGCGGGCGGATCACGGTCAGGAGTTTCAGACCAGCCTGGCCAACATGGTGAAACCCCATCTCTACTAAAAATACAAAAATTAGCAGGGCATGGTGGCGGGCGCCTGTAATCCTAGCTACTAGGGAGGCTGAGGCAGGAGAATCGCTTGAACTGAGAAGGTGGAGGTTGCAGTGAGCCCAGATCGCATCACTGCACTCCAGTCTGGGCGACAGAGCTAGACTCCGTCTCAAAAAAAAAAAAAAAAAGAACCAGTAACCGGTCACCTCAATATGTATCAGATGCTGGTGAACACAGGTGGACAAAGTGGTCAACAGACCAAAAATCCCTACCCTAAAAAAATAAAAGAAAAGAAAAACCTCCCTGCCCTGAATCCGAGTATTTTAAAATCAAAATTGCAGCCCCCGCACTACCCACCTCCTTCAGCCCGCTTTATTTTTTCTCCACCTTTTCACCTTCTAAACTATTATAAAATCGACTCATTGGTGTTTGTGTATCTTCCCCTACAGAATGCAGCCTCCAAGAGGGCATGGAATTTTGTCCATCTCGTTCATCACCCTACCCAGCCTCAGCACCTAGACCAGTGTTGGCACCCAGTGGGCGCCAAATAAACACTGACGGCTTGAACTCTAGACCTCGGCCGCTCTTTTTCCTACAGACCTTGAACCACCTTGTTCCAAAGGGGATATTGGCCTCAGGAGGCGCCCAGAGGTGACCTCAGGCGGCCCGACCCAGGAGTCCAAGCTCCGGGAGCAGGGCCACAGGAGCAGCTGCGGAGAGGGGCGGTGCCAGGAGCCGGAACGGGCAGTCGGGCGCTTCCTG